AGGGAAAGTATAAGGCAAGCTCAGGGTATCTTCTTGTACCAGAAAGCAAGGATACACTCAGACATTAATGGGGACATACCAAAAGGGCACAGAACAGCTTGAAGGAGTTTCACTAAAAGTATAAATGAGACTCAAATTCAAAATTATCTTGGGAAGTTGGTATACTTAACCAAATTAACATGATGAAAACTAATAGAGATGACTAATGTACAGGGTTTAGGTTTAAAGAACCAGTTTTATGGGTTCAGGATGGAGAACAATCTTACATGGCAGTTGATCATGTAAAAAAAAAAACAAAAAAAACAGATATTTTAGACCTGAAGATGAACCCAAAGTGAGATAAGATTACTAAAAAAGCTAATGCGATAAGCAGCTCTGAAGAAATTCAGGATCTAAGTTATGTGAGGTAGAAATCTTACACTCCAGGAGGTGGCTCTATAATGTAGTGGTTAGCTCGTCTGCTTTATATGCAGAAGGTCCTGGGTTCGCACCCCAGGTGGAGCCATGGCCAATAGCCACGGACCATACCCCAGGTGTGCCCTGCCCCGGGTGCACACAGAGTGTGTAGGAGGGGACGCCCCTGCCTTCAGAGATCCAATTCTTAAGGGGAAATGGCAGCATCCATAGGTCAGGGGTGGAAGGTGGGGCGGGGCCAAAGGGGGTGGCGGGGAAAGAAATCTTACACTCTACCAAATGAGGCTGACTGGTATTGTTTTATATGCTATATACATTAATTAAGTGAGCTATTCTTGACATAATAGCTCTTCCTATGCCTCATAGCAATTTCTATTTTTAAACACTTCCATGTGCCAGGCACTTGTATGAGAGGCTTACACGTTTTGCCCAATTTAAGCCTCACTGAGGTGGGTGCAATTATAATTCCTGTTCTACAAGTGAGGAAATTTAGGCTTGATCAGATAAAGTAACCATCTAGGTTAGACAACTAACAAAGGTATATACCTATAACTGAAATCTGCCTAATTCCAAGGTCTGCAACCAATATGGTAAAGAGTCTGAAAGTCATATAAAAAACACTATTGAAGAAACCAGAGGTTTTGAGCCTGGAAAAGATTAAGGGGACACATGGCAGGTATGTTCAAATACTTAAAAAAGAAAAATATTCTGTATGGTTTCAGAATAACTGGTATGGTTATAAGCAGCCAGAAGGCAGCTCCACAGTTAACAACAGAATGCGTGACCTCGGGAGGAGAAGCATCTGTCAGGGCCACTGCAGATGAGACTGGTACTGGGAATGTAAGAGGGCTCTATGGATTCTACCTTGACATTTGCTCCAATTCCAATGCAGCTGGCTTCAAGCAGAACTTCTGTGAGTCTAATGATCTCTCGCCATAGCTCTCACTTAACTCTCAAGTGTTAAAACTCTTCTCTAGGCCCACACAGTACAGCTTCTTGTTACAGTATTCCTTTGTGTTCCACCTATGCCAAAGCCCTTCCCATTACCAAAGGGTAAGAAAAGCCTGAGGGTAGGATGCAGCTGCCAAAGAAAGGGGATGCAAACAAGGTTTTGGGAACAGAAGAGCAGAGGGCATAGGTACAGTCTAAATCTCTGGCTGAAAAGAGCACGGATACAATTAAGGCCTTGGATTGAAGAAACAGACTTGAGCCGTACTAGGCAGCCGTTTTAATTGTCAAATGGAACAGACAACCAGGATGAAGCATAGCATATCGGAAGGAAAAGGCCCCTGGCAGAAATGAAATGATAAAAACCTAGTACTGAAAGATTCTTCTTTGAGAAAATGTATAAGCCAGGGCTGAGAATTCTGCAATTAGTTATGAAAACCCTGAACCAAGAAGCAGATATTTCTAGACCAGATGGTGTGAGATGGGACTGGCAACGCGAGACACATGGTAGACCCAGCCAGGCCTAACACAATTCTCCTAACAATACTGGTCAAGGGAAACTACCCTGCATGTCAACATCAGGGCTCATGTGTGCCTTTAAAAGAAAGAGAATGGCACATAACTAAAAATGCTATTTCCAACCTAAACAATAGAGTATGGTATACGTAAATTATAGCATATCAAAACAAAGTAACACTGGAGTGTTGGTTAAAATTAATCACCACATTTTATAGACAATCTTTAAAATTAATCACCACATTTTATAGACAATCTTAAAAGCAGGGAATATATTTATTGGAAAAAAAAAAGTACCAGCTCAATCCATGAGTTTATACTGACAGTGACAGGATCAATGGATTCTACATAATGCCACCAGTGTCTGGGAACAAAGAGAACCTGAAAATCAAACAAAAAATGGTTAGCATAAGAACAGGCCATTCTATTTTTATGTCAGAATCAAGCCCTAATTGAAGATACTAAGGGAAAAAAATGTAACACAAATGAATTTATAGTAACATTGCTGTAGAAAAGGGAACGACAACAAAATCTCACGATCATTTTACTCTTTTTTTAATTGACAAATTCACATGTTCTACAAAGAATAGTGCCAGCTTCTCCAGTGTCTACTCTCCTTAATCCTCGACCTTCTCTGTCTACATTGAATTCTTAGCAGAGGATTGTGAGATTTTAATTTTTCCTTTCCATTGCAAAACAGTTGTATGCATTCTGAGAAAGGGCATAGGTAAAAATATAAGACAGTTTCTGTTGTCTCACAGTCTAAAATCTACCCAGTGAAAAAATAATAAATAGAAAGGTGGTGTTATAGAAGTGGTATATGAGACAAGTGGACATTGGTGCTAGAGAACTTCAGAACTGAGAGGTGAGAGACGCAGGCATGAACTATGGAGGTCAGAGGCAACCTGGATGGAAGAAGAGTGATTAGAACCAGGGCCTGGAGAGAATTTAGACAGAGAAAAGAATGAGGACATGCCAGGAGGGAGAAGTGGCACAGGCTAGGAAAGTGCGACTGTTGAGGGACAAAGTAGGCCAGTCTTACTACTGCAGAAGGAGTAATGAGAGAGAGATAAGGTGGGAAAATTAGGTTAGGGTCTGTGGAAGGCTCTTAATTCAGAATAAAAAATCTGGATTTTGTCCTGTAGGCATTAAGAGTTGCTGAAAAATACTGAGTAAGCGGATGGTTAAAACAGTGACATTGTGGGAGATCCTAGGAAGGACAGGAGAGTCTTGTAATGTTTCGTTTATTAAATGTTAATATCTAAACGGGAAGGTATAATTAACGAAAGCAATGGGCAGAGTCAAGAAGGACTGCATTTGTCCAGATTCAGTGTAAGATTTCCAATGGAAAGCTGAGTAGAGCAGATGGAGATGGACCAGAAGCTTCTGGGCTTCAGATTTAGAAAACTGGTGGCACTTCATATGGACAAGGTGGAGCCGGGAGATGGGAAGAGAGCTTCTTTTAGTGTAACTGGGCACGAGAAATGACGACTGAATTTCGTCATTAGGTCATGAATGTCCTATCACAGAGTATACTTTCATTAAAGTGCTAAGAGAGAGAGAGCCAGATTGTGGTGGATTACAGAATGAGCAGATGTAAGGAAAACTGATACAACAGACAGAAATACTCATTCAAACGTGGCTATTAAAATCAAAGAAAAAATAAATTAGCAATCACTTCACATCCACTATAATGTTAATAATAATAATAATAATAATAGGAAATAACAAGTGTTGGTGAGCATGTGAAGAAACTGGAACGTGTACATTGCTGGCGGGAAGGTAAAATGGTACAGCTGCTGTAGAAAACAGTTTGACAATTTCCCATAAAGTTAAAAACAGAGTTACTATAAAAGCCAATGATTCCACTTCTAGGTATATATATCCAATATAACTAAAAACATATGTTCATACAAAAACTTGTACACAAATGTTCATACCAGCATTATTCATCACAGCCAAAAAGTGGAAACAACGCAAATGTCCATCAACTGGATAAACAAAATATATCTCTGTTCCAGCCATAAAAAGGAATGAAGTACTGATAACATTCTACAGCATGAATGAACCTTGAAAACATTATGCTATGTGAAAGGAGCCAGTCACAAAAGCTCATATATTGTATGACTGCACTTACATGGAATGTCCAAAACAGGTAAATCTATAAAGAAAATAGATGAGTGGTTGTCAGGGGATGGGGGGACAGGTGAAGGGGAGTAACCACCAACAGGCTGAAGCAACTTGATCAAGACAAATTGTTTGAGTTGGCATATTCAAGTGTGAAGTAAGCAGGAAAGGAGCCAGTGACAAGGGAGCAATGGAAGGAAAACAGGCAGGGGAAAAGAATAACCAAGGGAATAAAATCTCCGTAAGAGACTCAGAAAACCTTTCAAATTGTTAATAAAACATCAGAAAGCAAATGTCGGTGTTGCAAAAGTAACTTCCCCCACTAGGCAGTAGCACTAGGTACAGTATCTTTGGAAATGTTTCAGAGAGTCAGTTATAAAAGCAACATTCCTTCTTGCTTAAAGGCAAATCATTCTCAGTTCATTATGCCTCATTATACGTGGATGCGTTCCAACCTGTGTATATGTATCTGGGTTCTAGCATAGTTGAACAGATATGAATTGTGAATAAATGTTCCAGAACTGCTTGAGTACTCACGCTTGACACTTTCTCTTAACCTGAATAAAAATGACTGAGTTCTTGTCTTCCTCCACAGTCTATTCTCTTTACCAGTAGGAGGAGCTATGTTCCCTCCCATCTTTCTATGACAAGAAGCAGAGAAGTGTGTGTGACACCTGCAGCTGGGGAAACTACCTTCCAAGAGCAGAGCACCAGGGAAGGAAACCATTCTCATCTGTATTGCAGGGAAGGAATAATCACATGGCATAGACTTGAGAGAAGTTATAGCTAGGGAGTCTTCTGACAGGTCATCAAGGTTTTAAAGCCCCCATTACCTGTCCTGGGCTCAGCGTAACCACATGTCTTCGAGCTTTCTGGAACTCAGGAAATCGTTTTAAATCAGGATTGACAACATTGATTTTACTGAACACACTAGATTCTTCATAAGGGATTCTAGTTGGATAAAGAAAGGGAGTATCTTCAGGAGGAAAGAGATGCCATCTTTTCCTAATTAAAAAAGAAAAAAAAAGACACAAATCAGTATTCTGCACTCGAGACAAAACAGGTAAGACGACAGCAGCTCAGTGTTCATTTTTACTCATTTCCATTGAATCCATACAGAAATAGAGGCGCAACGTCAGTGGTCACCTGGCCCACCTCTCACTAAATGCTGGAATCTGCTCTGCTGAAACCTGGTGGAGGCAGAACAGGAACTAGTGATATCTCACTATGCCCTGAAGCAGTCCTTTAGCAGGGACAGGATCTAGTCTGAAAGATCATTTTTTCTTATCTCAAAGTTGTCATAAATTGTTTTCATCTCCTGGTTCTAGAGCTACCCAGAATAACCCCCACCTTTTCAAATATCTGTATTCTTATCTTATCCAGAGAAACCACCCATAGTTCTATCCACCAAATATTTTCCAGACTTCTTCCTGTTTGTTGTAAATTCCTTAAGTTAAATATTTAAGTTAATCCATTAAGAAAAAGAAATGTATGGAATGCTACACAACTTAAAAGTAGCATAATATAGAAATGTTCAAAAAGAGAAAACTGAAATGTTTCGGTCACTTTAAAATTTTGTGAAAAATAGAGGTGATAAGTTTTAACTTACAATAGACACACTTCGAGCCAACAGAGGGTGGGCATCAGAGGCAAAAGAGGAAGAAGTGTGAAAAAGGAAAAGACACAGACAGAAATACAAAGATAGGGAAGCAAAGAAAAAGAGAAAAAAAACACTAGTTCTGAGAAAATCCCCGAAGCCCTCTAGTGACCCCGTGCAGATACAGTGGGGCTCGCATGCCCTTTCAGAACTGGAAAGCAGTTGGCTGCTATTTTCAAACTAAGAAGTATATGCTAAAGTCTTATTTTGCCTTAGAGATGATAAAGTTGCTCTATTCCATTATACATATAACTAGTTTAGAAAAATTGTCAGCATTTGGTATGTTTCAAATGTTAGAGCTGGAAGGACTCTTAAAAGATCATCAGTCTAATTTCACTTTCAAAGTAGTGGAAGAGGGACCTAGTACTTGCTCTGGTCATTCACTGAGCGAATGGTTAGTGGCAGAACGAAAACTGGGTCACAGATCTCCTGACCTCTGCAGGTCCCAGCTCCTACCACCCAAAGGAAGAGACATAACAACCGTCCCATACGATTTGCTTGGCTTGGCTTAAAATGTAATATATATGCATCCTTCTCCTGATAATCAGAAAACACAGTCAATCATCACATCATCCACTGCTCATAAAACTTCTCATGGTTCTGCAGGCTGAAAGAACAGAGAATAAGCAGTATCTCCGCCTGGGAGCCAAGACCCTCAGGCTCCAACCTGCCCCTCTGGCCTAATTCCTCTGTCCCCAACACACAACTTACACCGGACCACTCACAGGGTCCTCTATATCCCCATTCTCTCCTAGGGCACTGCGCATGCTGCCCCCACTGTCCCTCCTATCTATGTCTTTCGAATACTCACCCATCCTTAAAAGCCTAACACAAATGGCAACTCTGGTCTGAAATTTTCTCTGATTTTTCCAATAGGAATGTTCTCTGCTTTTCAGTTCCACAGCTCTATGAAACCTTCCTCAAGAGCATGCTCATTCTGCCTTATATCACTGCTATCTGTGGGCTTGCCTGTACTCTAACTGTAAACTCTTAGGGCAGTCATGTCTTATTCATTCAATCTGTTCCTACTGTAACACATAGTACCTGCACAGCAAGATACTCAATGAATATTTACTGAATAGTTATTTTATTACTCCAGAGCTATATGAAGCCAGAAAATATGCTCTATTACAAAGTTATAATAAACCTATATTAATTTTATAACACAGAAGGAACCCAGGTATTTTTTGGTAATGTTTTTCCAATCTGAATTTCTTTGGCTTACTTCCCAGTTCAGAACACATGGAAAGTGGCTACTTAAAACGATGCCCTCTCTTACTAAATCTAAGGTTAGACTATTAACTTCACAAGGGCAGGAACCATGCACACTTGATTTACTGTTGCATCTACAGTGTGTAGTAATGCACTTAAGATGATCTATGCCCTTTAATAAAGACTTGATGATTCAAAGAGATTACCAGATATCATTTTATAGTTTTCAAAGTACTTCACATGTGAAATCTATTCGTGTACTTACTCAGTTTCTCTTGGATCCACTCATAAGCCTTTCATGTCTAAAGGGTCTGAGAACTTGGACATGGCCCTTTCTGCTTTTTCCTCTGTGCTGCCCTATAAATGTCTCAAAAGGCCAGGAGGGGAGATTAGGGGATCAAGAATTAGGGGAAAATAAGACTGCACGTAAAACAGCTGGAGTACATCCTCCAAGCAGGAGAAACCCTTAAACTCTCATATAACAATTAGAACCAGAGACTATCAAAAGTATTACCTGACTTAGCCCTTATATCTCTTAGGGTCCACAGACATATGGAGATAAAAAAAAAACTGACTGGAAGTAAAAAACAAAAACAAACAAAGAAACAAAAAGAAACAAAAACTGCATTGTGTCTAAGGTAGGCACAAACTAAAATTTAGAGTTGAAGGAGGCCATATGCAACCTGGTCCCACAGTTCTCAAACCAGGTTCCCTGGCATCCCCTCAGGGACCTGAGGGTAGCAGCAAAGCTTCTTCTTTTCAATAAACTGCTCTGCTCTTATTTATTTAGTTTGAAGAAATCGTGTTCCTGCTTTTAAATAAAAGTTTGAAAACTACAAATGCAGACTCATATATAAAAGAGCTAAGCAGAGAACTGTCTACCTTACTAGGAGTGGACTCCTGGAGTTCTAGGATCAGCTTTCTGAAGGCAATCCTGAACATGGCTGAGAGACACACATGGAAAGCATCACTTAAACTTCCCCTCACTTTGCAAAGGAGGAAACAACCAGAAGTCAAGAGATCTGCCCTGATCGTGGGGCAAGCTGACAGGAGAGAGCTGAGACTAAACCTTGGGGTCCTGCTGCCTACTCAGTACTCATTCCTCTTCTTGTGCACCACACACACACCCACACACACATGCAGACACATGTACTTTAATGCATATGCATGTGTATTACCTTCCTTGTACCTGGAATACTAAATTGCAACCATAGGAGTCCAGATGACAGGGTGTATGGGCCCCCAGGGAGCCAATCCACAATGTACTTTCCTGTCCACTTCTTCCAGGAAACCCGAAGTCAGACCATATCACATCCTGTTTTAAAAATAAAGTTACAGACCATCAAGAATCAACCAACTCCTCTGTGTGGCAGTGTTGCACATTTTCACTTGCACATTTGGTTTTTGGCTTTTGTAATACTCTCTTATAAAAAATGCTATAGATGGAGGTTAGGTTTCGAGGGCAGTCCAAGAAATCTTTTTACTCAATAACATATCCGAATTACCTAATAGTATTTATTCAACAAACACTTACTGACTGCCCACAACATGCCAGGCTTAATGTTCTTGAAGCTTATGACAGAATTCATAAACAAAACAGACAAAAACGCCCACCCAAATGAAGCTTACATAAAGGTTTGAGACAGACAAAAAACAATGGACATAATTATGCTGAGATCTAGGAGAAGTGGAAATAGTGACTGCAATGAAAATAGTATTTCAAATATCTCTGAAGCTCCACTCAAGAAGCTAGAAAGCCATCCTTCTTCCAAGCAGTGCAGGTATTTCTGGGCATAAGTAACATTAACTTTTTGCATTTCAATGACCACATAAAATAAGTTTTCTCCTAGGTTAGTGGAATTACTTAATCTATAGATACAGGAGTCTTATTAGTTCATACTTACCAAATCAGTCTCCAGGTGAGGGTGTCACAGCATATCTTTTGAAATACATATCCGTAAATGACTTCTGCTCTAATCTCTAAAGTCCTGAACTCTTTAAGTGTAATGAACTTTAAAAGAGAGAGAGCACAGTGCTCTAGACTTTGCTCTCCTTACATCTGGTTCTGTGGACAGATCATACCCACATCAATTACTGACTCACAATACTATCTGGTCTAGAAGTTCTCAAACCAGGCTCCCTGGCTTCCCCTCAGAGGTCTGGGGGTAGCAGCAAAGCCTCTTCCTTTCAACAAACCATTCTGCTCTTATTTATCTAGGTTTGAAGAAAGGGTGTTCTTGTTTTTAAATAAAAGTTTGAAAACTACACATGTAGTCTGACAGAAACCCAATTCCATGGAATTAAAAATATGTCTAAGATAGAAAAGAGCTAACTAGTGAATCAGGCATGAAAGTTTTGCTTTACTCATTTTTTTCATCACAAATTTTCCCTCTTGGGTTTAAAAAAATGAGACAGAACAAAAAACACTTCTATGTGCAGAACGTGGTCCTAAATGCTGATACTTCTTTAATCACTATCTTCAATCTATATTTTCTATTTTTAGAGACAAACCATTAACAGCTGTATTCAAAGAGAAAGAGGATTTTGGGGAGACATTTAATAGATGGTTTTGAGGAAGACTAGAAAGGACATTTTCATTTTTGTTTTAAGTGATGAAAATAGCAGAACATGTGCACATAATTAACGTCTGTTATAGAATGTAGTTTTTGCAAGGTCAGCACCATTGTAAATGCGTATGACTCACAGGCAGCAGCTCCAGGGAGTGGCAAAAATCTTATGCCCTCTGGATATAGCCCATAAGCTCACGCAGTGAGCTTACTTCTGTATTCCCAATGTCTAACCTAATACCCAGCTCAGGGTAAGTACTTAAAACATTGAGTGCTTGGTAAGGAAGGAAGAATTTGTTGGCTGATTATAGGTGAATGATTCAGGTCAAGTACATTTTTAAGCATCTACCGCACATCTGGTATGATGCTGGGTATTTAGAATACAAAAAGTAATACAACACTGTCCCACCTTTCAAATCTATTAAAAAAAAGACAGTCCCATAAATGAACCCTTTCCCTATAATGTGGCAAACGCTCTGACAGAAGTGAGCAGAGGGTGCTCTAAATTCACAGAAGGGCTCCTGGTCTCAAGTAGGGAGCCTGGGGAAGGCTTCCAATTAACCTGGTCCTTGTTAAACAATTCATCATACTTCAGTCTGGAATTTAACTAAAGGCAGCTGAAAGGCATTCAGTATAAAAGAAAAATCGGGATGATTTAGCTAAGAAGAGGCTGGTGTTAGTGATTCTTAATCTTCTTCTAGATACGCTCCTTCGGGAATCTAATGAATGCCAACACCCCTCTCCCCAGAGAAATGTATGCACACAAAAAATTTCACATATACTTTGAGGGAGTCAATGGACTGACTGCAGGTGAGAAACTTTGTTCTAGACCATGCTTCAGAAAGAATCACAGAAAAAAGACTTCTACAGGGTGGGTGGGTGGGGGTACTATACGACAAACTGATAAGAAGCTTCCTTGACCTCTTATCTAACATAATAATGACTAAAAAAGGAAAATGATTTCTAAATGATTAGATCAAGGTGACCTAAACTACCTAAAATTCAGCAGCAAACTGGCTGGGAAACCAAAAGATGAAGGGTTGGAAAGTGGTGGGGGGTACAGTTGGAGAGTGTCAAAGCAAATCTGTCAGAAAATAGCATATAAGGGTCCTACTTTCTTTCCTCCCAGGCTCTTGAGAGCTGAGCCTTTCTAGCCAATTAAGTTCAGCTACTTACAGGTAGCCAAATGTATGAAATCAGTGTGGGCCCAAGAGGAATCTGTCTTAAGTCTTACTAAAAACAAGTGACTCTATAAGGCCACTATACCAGTGAAACCAACACACGTGACTGATGGGGTGACCCATTCTGGATTCTATTCTCACATCCACTTCTAGTGTTGGAAAAGTCTAAAGATCATTTATATCGAGAAAATTCTATTCTAACACCACCCCTGAAAAGAGCAATCAAGTATCTTGTTAACTAACTGCTTACTTCAAAAACACCATCTACTTTCTTATGACTTCCAGAAGGTCCTAAATTGGCTTTCTACAGATACGAACATGTTTATTTCCTCTTCTGCCAAAAATAGCTGTTTTAAATTATCTGTAAGTTCCCTCTTACCCCTATGTAGTCAGTCTACCTGCCTCCACTCTCAGCCCTTATCAACCACGAATCTTATCTGAGTAACTAGATCTACTTTTTTCCTTAGTTCCTAAAACTGTTCCAATTAACAATTTAAATAATTGTTGCAGACTCAAACACCATTTTTAAAATGCTATACACATAACCAAATCTTCCATAATTTTATAGTTTTAGCCAAAGAACTGAAGAAAAACTGGTAAGATGCTTATAATAAAGAAGGGTGGCTTTTTTTTGGCCTACTATGTAAACCAATCACCAAAAGTAATTCATTCTTAAGTCGTTTAGTTCTAGATGATATATTACTTGGTAAAAATATTTCTTTAAATAATATTTTCACATATGCATTAGTACTTTCATTCCTGTTTTACAGGTAAGATATCTAAAGTGCAAACAGGTTAAATAAGTTTACACTAGCTCATACTGAATCTAGGCTCTGAGAAAGTATTTGTTCTCTTACCTACACGATGCCATGTGGGCGACTGGTTAATTTGAGTCTCCCATTAAAAGTTGTCTTCTGAAAACATAGGGATTAAACTCAAGGACTTCGGACTTAAAGAGGATTTTATGAATTTGACCTCAAAGGCAAGGAAAGGAAAAGCAAAAATAAATGAATGGGATTACATCAAACTAAAAACCTTCTGCTCAGCAAAAGTAATCGTCGACAAGGTAAAGAGACAACCATCCGAATGGGAAAATAGATTTGTAAGCAACGCCTCCGATAAAGGCCTAATATCCAAAATACACAGAGAACTCATATGACTCAATAACAACAAAAAAACAAACGATCCAATCAAAAAATGGGCAGAGGACCTGAACAGACACTTCTCCCTAGAGGACATACAAATGGCCAACA